GTGAGCGCACCTATGTCATACAATGCTTCAGAGGCCAGAAGAGGGTTTCAGAGTCCCCTGGAACTGGAGTTAAGGACAGTTTGTAGCCACTATGTGGGTGCTGGGAAGGGCAGTCAGTGCTCTTAACTGCTGAGCCATCTTTCTAGCCCCTAAACTCCAGTTTTCTATCAAAAAGAAACAGGTGACATTGAGCTCATGAAGTATTTCTTATGGTCCAAAAGATCAAGAAATGTCTCAGTTTAGCATGTAACCCACACAAAATGGAGCAATTGAACATATTTTGCTCAATGAGATGGAAAATATTTTTTCTTTCTTTTTCTTTTCTTTTCTTTTTTTCTGTTTCAAATTTCTTTTGAGGCAAGGTCTCACTATGCAGCCCTGGCTGGTCAGGAACTTGCTATATAGACCAGGCCGGCCTCAAACTCAAGAGACTCCCCTGCCTCTGCCCCCTAGGTGCTGGAGTTAAAGACAGGCACCACCACATCCAGCCTTTCTCTTTCTTTTCAGACAGCCTCTTACTGTGGAGTGATGCTGGCCTCAGACTTGCAGCAATCCTCCTGCCTCAGCCTCCTGAGTTCAGGATTTACAGACATGAGCCACCATGCCCAGCTAGATCTGACATTATTACTCTGCTGATAAAATTTCCCAGTTCTGTGTACTATCTCCCATGGTATCTTAGTGGCAACCAGCCACATCAAGAGCTCTACAGTCCAGTGAAACCTGTGCTTCCATATTGGACAGTGCAGGTCTGAGCCATCCCACACCCTTCACTGGGGCCATGGCTCCAGGAAGGGGTGGGAAATTCGAGGATTGGGGAACCACAGCTGATCTCCCCTCTGTCCCTGTTTCAGCCCCAAGCCCAGTGAGAAACCTGACAGTGGAAGGTCAGACCAACAGCTCCATCACCCTGCACTGGGAGGCCCCTGAGGGCTCCGACTCCCAGAACCTCACCTACTGGGTGCAGTGCATTGGAGATGGTGACCAAAATGAGACCACAACAAACACCAGCATCGTGGTGAACAAACTTGTTCCTGCATCTCCATATGAGTGTTCTGTGTGGGTAGAGAAATATGGAGTCTTTAGCTCCAAGGAGATGATCAGCACTGTCACAGGTGAGAGGCAGACACTATTCTTCTTTCTCCTCCCCCTCCTTTTACCTTCTGTCCCCTTTGTTCCCCTCCCCTTCCCTTCCTTTCCCTTTCTGTCCTTTCCACTATTTCCTCTCCCTCCCTCCCTCCCCTTCTCCCTCCCTCCTTCTCTTCCCTCTTTCCCTCTCTCCCTCTCCCTATCTCCCCCACTCTCTCTGAACCAGGTCTATATACACATAACTCATTCCAGCCTGTAACCCAAAACCCTCTGCTCCTGTCTCCTAATGCCTGGATTACAGGCCTGAACCCCACACCTGGCTTTTTCCCTTCACTGATAATGGGACGTGTAGAGGGAGGTTGGGAGCTGACAGGAGGGTTTGGCTATTCAATAGGCATGTAAATGAAGCCACACTTTAAAATTTTTCTTTTCTTTCTTTCTTTCTTTCTTTCTTTCTTTCTTTCTTTCTTTCTTTCTTTCTTTCTTTCTTTCTTTCTTTCTTTCTATGTATATATTTATTTATTTATTTTTGGTCTTTTTGAGACAGGGTCTCCCTGTAGGCCCAGCTGTCCTGGAACTCACTATGTAGACCAGGAT